AAAAAATATTGCCGTAAACAGTTTATTTTGCGACACCACGAAACAAACGATAGCGTAAAATGAAACGATAGACGTTTTTATATCGTCATGCGATATATATCGTTATATCGAGCAGCCCTAAACAGAACCTGTGACGAGCAGCTGGAAGTCCACTGGGAACGAGTCCAGCATACAGCAGACATTCAGACCAAGTTCTTCCTGCGTTTGTACGGGACCATTCCTCCTGAATCTGAGGGCTGACCAACACGTGGACTCTTCTTAAAGAGCCAGAGTAACTGAGACATATAACCTTAGATCTGGGATACAAACACAAAATCTTTCATCGACCTTCAACCGAGGATATGTGGTCCTCCTGTGGACGGGGGGGCCCACCGGAGAGGGGACCCGGGTAGCTTCTTTGGCTGGGCCCCAGGGGCTAAGGGCCAGCCATCAGACTCTGAAGCCCGGCTTCAGGGTAGGACCCCGTTAATCCTTTGTCACCCCCCATCAACCCAACTGTATGCCAGTGCATGATAACTCATATGTACCTGTCCAGGTGAGTCACGCCTTCCACATTTAGAAGAGGGGCTGAAGGAGAATAGGGGGGGCTCGTCAGGAAAGAACTGAGAGAAGGTCTGTTTAGACAGCTGGTACTTTGCCATCGAGGAGGGCTGAAACACAGCGAGAGACAACAGCAAGGTTGTGATTAGGGAGCTGCAGCTGCAGCTGCATCAGATGCTGACTTTAGCAGTAATATTCTCACCTTTAGTGCGACGATCCCATTCTGAGGCTCGCAGTGCTGCTTGAAGAGTAGCTTCAGTCTCTCTCTGGACAGAGCGCTTTTCTTGCGACTTAATACAAAATAAACCAATTAGTTTAACAGTGAGAAACCACTTTCTCATCACCATCAGGTGGAATTGCTCTATACAGTGCCTGAGCGCAGTGATTCCCACATCAGTGTTTTATTAATGTGTCACGCTTCACCTTTAGAACATGTGTAGTCAAGATATGGAACAAAACACTTGATACAATTCCAGCACTGAACAGTGAACTAGGGCTGCCACAAACGATTATTTTTATAGTCGACTAATCAGATCATCATCCATTGGACGTAAAACAGCTTATTGCACCAGCAGCATCTGCTCTTATATAACTATCATTAGCTTACAGCTTTAAGTGTT